CCTTAGAGCCTAGTCTCACATGGTGTTGGACCAGAAGACGCCTTTTGGCGTCATCGGTTTGAATATTATCGACCGGGAAAGGAATGATTACAATGGTCAACACACTTTTCTGGCATAAGGTATTCCAACGGTTTTGAGGTAATTTTGGGGTGCTGATTCCAAATCTGGCGTCAGTTTTTCTCTATCGCATCAGGTTTTTGAGATATCAAATATTGCATTTTGAATAAAAACTGCAGAAGAAAAATATTAAATTAATGTGGATATCTACATAAAATGATATTATAAACACACTATCCTAAAAATACAGCACCATATTTTACACTAAAGCAGTCACTGACTCGCAACGACTCGCAATCATAAGTGACAGAGTAAAACTCGGGTAAAATCAATGAAAATGGGGTATGCCGATAGCATAAAATGAGATGTGATAGAGCAAATCTGAGATCACATTTGGAATCAGCACCCTGAAATTAGTCTAGAACAGCTGCAAAAGTCCAGGCCAGAAAAAAAAGGGTTTTTTTTTTGTTGACCAGTGTGGCAGTGGCTGATATCACCATCATCATGATCACGTGAACATTTACATACAGCCAAATACCCTGAACGCATGATGTTGATTATGCGAATATGGGGAGAGAGAACATGCAAGCTTCAAATAAACACGCATGTAGGTTGGCTACGGTACGTGCTAATCGTAGGTGCGAGGGAAGGGACAACGAACTAAACACATGAGGCAGCTCTTACAGAAATTAGTTTTCAATCTAGACGATGATTTAAAAGTGCACGGCTCCATTGGCTTCCTAATATCGGAAGGCAGAGCGTTCCAGACGGCCGCAGCTGCAAAATTCCAGGCCAGAAAAAAAATGTTTTTTTTTGTTGACCAGTATTATAAATGAGTGACCTCCACCGTGCCCCCCAACACCAACTCCCCTGCTCCCCCTTCTTCCCCTCTTCTCCCCCTCCCCTGCAAATCTGCAGTTCCTGACCGTTGCCCCTACGGTGGGTTAAGAGGGCAGAGAGCCCAAAGTGCTTCCAGTAAGCCCTCTATTTGTGGGAATATCGGTGCAGATGGTTAGGCGTACGTGAGCTGCCTTGGGGCGCAGCGGTGGCTGGGAGATGTTAACTACCTCGCCTGGTATGCAGGAGGTCGTGGGTTCGATCCCCGACCCTGACGCCTGCTGTATATTTGGAGTTTGCGTGTCTCTCTCCCTCATCATCATCACGGTGGCTAGGAGATGTTAACGACCTCGCCTGGTGTACAGGAGGTCGTGGGTTCGATCCACGACCCTGACGCCTGCTGCTGTATATTTGTAGTTTGCGTGTCTCTCTCTCTCTAATCTAATCGTGGTCACGTGGATTTTTCTCCAGGTCCCCCTGTTTTTCCCCTCTACATTTAGAATTGGCGTGACGCATTAATTAGTGTTCGGCTGCTGCTATAAATGTCCACGTGATAAGCCGCTTTGTCGAGCTATCGTTTGTGGCCTGGTCGCTTCTGAAAAAGAGCTGCATAGCTCAGGGGCGAAAATTTAAATAAAAAAAATTTGCATTATTTTTTGTGTTCTCCTAAAAAATGTTTTTAACATGAACGAGCGAGAGTGCGCGATCTCACAGGCGTTGCCCGCGTATTTAAAACGACGACGACGATCAATGAGCCGCTACTGCAGAGCTCACGTCAAACCAGGTCGCCCCTCCAAAAGGTGGCGATGATGGCGGTGAATGTCAACGCGCTTGAGTTGGCGAAATGTCACAGACGCAGCCGACAAACTGGTGCCCCGCACCCCGCAAACCGAGATCAAACGAACCGCTTCTACCGGCTCATTTTATTTCTCAACAATGAATTCTTTATATATATATTTTTCAATCCTTTATATTAAGTTCGCTTGCTTGCTTGCTTACGACCGTGCAAATCTTTCGGTCGTTTTTTAACCCACTTCCCGTGATCCAATCGAGCTGACATTTTGCACACAGACTCGTTGAGCGTGACAATAAATTTTCGTGAAAAAAAAATTCCAAAATTTTACACTGTTTAGGAAAAAATAAATTATATTTAATTACCAATTGCTTAATGGTGGCAGGCAATCATCTGACCCATAGGTGGCAGCCATCTCAAGCCAGAGGACGAGAGGACTCTAGCCGCCACGCATATAAAGGATTTATAGTGAAAAACTTTGTTTTTACGGGTTAATTTTTTGAAGATATATATGATGATAATAATAATGATGATGATGCATTCCCCCCGCTGCAGACATGTAACGGCCGTTGGGTGGAAGTTCGCGGAGACCCCAAATAAAAATTGCAGCAGTTCCGAATCTCCGTGCTCCGCTGACGCAGAAACCTTTCCCCTCCACGTGAAACGCACCGACCCGTTCCCGCATCTCACACGGAGACCGCTAATGGTCGAGCGTTTCATGTCTTCCCCAACGCCCACCCCACCACCACCTTGGTGGCACACAGCAGAGGTCGCAACCGGGTACCCGATACCCGTACCCTACCCGATACCCGGCTACCCGTACCCGGCCAGGTACGGGTACGGGTAGCCGTTTGCGACCCTGGTGCGGCCGGGTACGGGTACGGGTAGGCCGTGAGTCACTGGTGAGTAACCGTTTGTCACTCATTTCGGGTAGGGTACGGGTACGGGTAGGGAACGGCTACCCGTACCCGGCCGGGTACGGGTACCCATTTGCGACCCTGGTGCGGCCGGGTACGGGTAAGGAATCAAAACCTGTTTGCGACCTCTGCTACACAGTGAGGTTTGCATGGCTGGCTACGTACGAATTAAGCTCAACGCACGTAACACCATGGCTAGCCCGCGCAGAGTTGACAGTTCAATTCTGTGAAAGGCCCCGAGAATTCATCAAAGTGCCGCGCTTCGCAACGTAAAACATGGATCAATTTCTGGCAGCAAACAGGATCGGTACCGCTGGCAATTGAGGCAGCGCTGAGGCCTCCAATGCTGGTCCCCCCGTTGTTGGGGACATTAACATAATTGTTTTATGCATTACCCCAATGTTCTCCCGAGAGCGGAAACCAAAGCAGATGCTGTGAAAGCGTCCGCGTGAAAAAGGTCAACCGCGTACCAAAAAAAAGAAAAAACAGCGATCTAAAAAGTAAAAAATTATAATAATAAAATCGCTTGATTACAGAGAAACACATCAAAAATGGAAACGCAATCAGCACGCGACGTGCATTTTACGCGGTTTGCCGTATCGCGGTTGCCGAGTGGAGGGAACGGTGGCACGGTCACCGCCAATCCCCGGGGCCGCTCACAGAGGGGATGATGATGAGGGCACTGCCCTTCGACGTGAGCTCCCGTTTCCCTGGTGGGCCGTGCTCAAAATGAACTAAACGGTTTCATTAATTTTAGATTTAAAGCTTCTTTCGTGACTGCAGGGATTCATCTTCTTGGTTCTTTCGGTAAAGTCACGTAGAAGGGAAATAATAAAATAATAAAAATAAAACATAATAAAATTTCGATTTAAAGCTTTCGTGACTGCAGGGATTCATCTTCTTGGTTCTTTCGGTAAAGTCACGTAGAATGGAAATAATAAAATAATAAAAATGAAACATAATAAAATAATTCTCACGACGTTTCGGCCACAACGCAAGCAGCCGTCGTCAGGTGAAGAACAGGCTGGGTGGGGAGGGTGGGGAGGGTGGGGTGGGGAGGGTTGGGCTGGGTAAGGAGGGTGGGGCTGGGTGGGGGGTGGAAGGAGTGGGGCTGTGTGGGGAGGGGAGGGTGGGGAGGGGCTGGGTGGGGAGGGTGGGGCTGGGTGGGGAGTGGGAGGAGTGGGGCTGTGTGGGGAGGGGCTGGTCACCCCGTGGTGCCCTTATAAAACTCAACGTTTCACCTACTCACGCCGGCTTGTGCCCGCCCTCACAGTCGGGCATATTTGCGGAATACACCACGCCGCCGTTGACCCTGCAGGCCATTGACCGAGCAACCCAACGTTCCTACCAGCTCCCTCCGCAGGACAATGTGTTTTTTGTAGCCAAATCATCGAGTGCACTGTCTCTATGAAACCTGGCCACCCGAGTTAGATTCCTGGCCACGGCTAAGACGAGTGGCAAGCGGTATTCGATTGAAATGCGCAAGCTACATAGTGGGGCCTTACCTGGCCAAACAAAACATATTCTTAGGTTTTTTCGGTAAAGTCACGTAGGTAAAAAATTAAAATTAATAAAAGTCAAATAAAAATAAAATAAAAATCACGACGTTTCGGAGGCAACACAAGCTTCCGTCTTCAGGTGGAACCGTCACAGCACGATTGCTGTATCAAGTGAGAGAAATTCCAAGAAACAGTCCTTGTATATATACTGGTTGAGGGTGGGAGGAGCCAAGGTAGGCCCTGGATATTATTTTTGTGAGGTTCGGTGCGGCTGAAGCACGCTGATAGGAATGAGCCTTTGTTGTGTAGACTGGTTGAACTGGGAGGTTCCAAGAGTTGTTAAGGTGCGGCTGATGTAAATGTGTAAATGGGACTGAGCCTTTTGTTATGTAGAGGTGGTGCGGCTGAAACCGCTGCCAGGAATGAGTCTTTGTTGTGTAGACTGGTTGAACTGGGAGGTTCTAAGAGTTGTTAAGGTGCGGCCGATGTAAAGGTGCGTGTAAACGGGACTGAGCCGTTTGTTATGTAGAGGTGGTGCGGCTGAAATCGCTGCCAGGAATGAGTCTTTGTTGTGTAGACTGGTTGAACTGGGAGGTTCCAAGAGTTGTTAAGGTGCGGCTGATGTAAATGTGTAAATGGGACTGAGCCTTTTGTTATGTAGAGGTGGTGCGGCTGAAACCGCTGCCAGGAATGAGTCTTTGTTGTGTAGACTGCTTGAACTGCGAGGTTCTAAGAGTTGTTAAGGTGCGGCCGATGTATAAATTTCTAATTTAATTTTTTTACCTACGTGACTTTACCGAAAAAACCTAAGAATATGAATCCTTGCAGTCAAATCTAGAAACAAAACATAGTTCAGTAGTTTAGCAGTGAGAGAGGCGGGGGGTGGGGGGACCTCACCTGCTGGAGTTGCCACTTCTCCACCAGGTGCTCGACGACCCCCCCCAGCAGGCGAACGTTGGACTCTTCCAGCAGCATGAAGCCATTGACGACTTGGACCGAACCATTGAGGCAAACCTTGCTCCCTGGGGGTGTGTTCAGCCTGTAGGGACGGTGGTGGGGAGGGGGGGGACACAGGAGGTTGAGGAGTGTTGGTTGAACGAGGCACGGGACGTGGGGCAGTGCGGGGAGGAAACACGAGGCGGTGTCAGGATTGCACCAAGCACAAAAGACAAAGATCCCCTATATAGCCTTCAACAGGTGGGGCAAGTGCTGTTCGCGAGGCAGCAGCAGCAGCAACAACAACAACAACAACCGCCATTCGCCACTAAGTGACGGTGAAGTCACCGCGCGCTCGTGCCAGGCTAGGTGCGCTTTGAGGCCACGTGAAGTGTCGAAGGCTCTCTGCTGGCAGGAGATCACGGGGCAGACGCAGGTGGTGTGGGTTGACTGACCGAGGTGAATGGCAGATGCACCAGCTGTGACCCCTGCCGTGCCAACTTAACAGGCTGTTGGTGCAAGTGCTGTTAGCGAGCACCTATGAAGGCCGGCACGGCGGGACACGAGGAGGGGGGCGGCCAGCACCACGCCCGACCGCCTTTGTCTCCCCTATTGGCGATGTTTTTACACATCAGGTACTCATTTGAGGCTGAGTCAACCTACGTGGTGCCGTGGTGTGTAGCAAACATCGATACTAGGGGGACAAAGGCGGCCGGGCGTGGTGCTGGCCACCCGCCCACTCGTGTGCCGTGCCCGGCCTGCACAGGCGCTCGCAAACAGCACTTGCCACCGCAGTCTGCTAAGGCTACACGGGGGAATGTTTGCCTGTATCTGCACTACAAAAAAAATAATATTAATAAAAAAAAATTTTAAAAGATAAAAACAAATTCAAAAAATATTAAGAAAAGATTTTAAAAAAGGAAAAAAATATTAAGAAAAGAAAAAAAAAAGGACAAATATTTAGAAAAGATAAAAAAAACATCCCAGGTTTGGCCTTAACAGACTGTTGGGGCCAGTGCTGTTAGCGAGCGCCGATGAAGGCCGTCACGGCACACGAGGGGCCGAGCAACCAGCACCACGGATAATCGCCACCGGTTATCTGTGGCGGCGAGCGCGAATCGAACCCGGGTCGCCCGTGTTTGTGGCGGCTGCGGGCGGCCGACCGGCTCCCAAACTCCGACGACGCACGAAGGCGCCCCGGGGCGTCCATCCCTCGGCGGCCGGATCTGACTCCCCACCCCTCCTCCCCCCGCCTGGGCCGGGTTCGACAGGCGGCCCAAGATTTGGCTTCATCGCGGCGAAACGACGGGCCAAACGTCGGGCCAAACGGCGGTCGACGGCCGCTCCCGGTGCGGAACGAACGACGGGCCGAGAGGGACCCGACAGTGGAGGTCAGGTGAAGGAGGTGGTGGTGGGGGTGGGGGGGGCAGGGGGGTGAGTCGAGAATAATGCGAAATAAAATTAAGGCGATCGCTACGTCTGAATTACATTCGGGCAGAACACGCAGCACTACTGAAATCTCATTAACACTTAATCGGAATTAAGCAAAGCCAATAAACTAAATATTTACGTTTCGCGACACACCGACACGGTCCCGCATGGCTCAGCGAGGGGGATTTAAAGGGCGTCCAAGAAACAAAGGCGACGACACTCGTGTTGCAATAAACACCGCGCCGAGAGAAAGCCAATTTTCACCAACGACTGCGAAAAAAAACAATCGGGGTAATCCACTTTGCGAAACACGACCCGCCGTACAATTCCCTAATCCGCACGACACTAATTTCAATTTTACCACGTCGGGAACCACCGATCTGTCTCGGATCTCTTTCAGGAGCGACCCTGGCCACCAGAAATGATAGCTCAACGTCGTGGTTCATCATCATCATCATGATGATCGCGTGGAAACGTCAAACAGCAGCCGAAGACTCTAAACGCGTGACGCTCATTCTAAACGTGGAGGGGCAAAATCGGAAGGACCCCGAGAAAAATCCACGCGACCACGAGGAGCGAGAGAGAGAGAAAGAGAGAGACGCAAACTACAATATACAGCAGGCGTCAGGGCCGGGATCAAACCAATAACTTCCTGTATACCAGGCGAGGTAGTTAACATCTCCTAGCCACCGTGATGATGATGAGAGAGAGAGAGACACGCAAACTCCAAAGATGCAGCAGGCGTCAGGGTCGGGATCAAACCAGCGACTTCATGTAAACCAGGTGAGGCAGTTAACATCTCCTAGCCACCGTGATGATGATGATGAGAGAGACACGCAAACTCCAAACATACAGCAGCAGGCGTCAGGGTCGGGATCGTACCCACGACCTCCTGCACACCAGGCGAGGTAGTTCACATCTCCTAGCCACCGTGATGATGATGAGAGAGAGAGACACGCAAACTCCAAATATACAGCAGCAGGTGTCAGGGTCGGGATCGAACCCACGACCTCCTGCACACCAGGCGAGGTAGTTGACATCTCCTAGCCACCGTGATGATGATGATGAGAGAGAGAGACACGCAAACTCCAAATATACAGCAGGCGTCAGGGCTGGGATCAAACCACGACCTCCTGTACACCAGGCGAGGTAGTTAACATCTCCTAGCCACCGTGATGATGATGATGAGAGAGAGAGACACGCAAACTCCAAATATACAGCAGGCGTCAGGGCTGGGATCAAACCACGACCTCTTATACACCAGGCGAGGTAGTTAACATCTCCTAGCCTATAAACAAAACGAGCTTGTTCCTCCAGAAAAAGCATTTGATAAAAAAAAATCTATTTTTTACGGTCAATTAATTCGCGTGGGAACTGCGGCTTTGCCGGGGGTCACAAGGTCACGGGACCTTGTGACCTTGTGACCTTGTGACAAGGTCACGGACCGCGTTGGCCAATCGCGCGGGTCAGCTGACGGCAGACCTGACACCCGCTCGCTTTTGACGGCAATCTAACGAGTAAAAATCCACTGCTCCGTCACGTTCACATGTCCAATATGTTACGTGGGACTATCGGTATTGTTGCAAATTCAAAGAAAGTGTTCACATTTTTTTGAAGCGCCCTGTGTATGTGTAATAAAGCTCGTTGAGGCGACTTCTAGATCCGTCTGTTATTCAACTTGTATTACAGCTTTTCCTCCACGCTGCTGACAGGCAGCGTGAGAGGGACAGAGAGAGAGAGACACACAGCCACGTGGCAGCCCGGACCACGTGGCAGCCCGGACCACGTGGCAGCCCGGACCACGTGGCAGCCCGGACCACGTGGCAGCCCGGACCACGTGGCAGCCCGGACCACGTGGCAGCCCGGACCACGTGGCAGCCCGGACCACGTGGCAGCCCGGACCACGTGGCAGCCCGGACCACGTGGCAGCCCGGACCACGTGGCAGCCCGGACCACGTGGCAGCCCGGACCACGTGGCAGCCCGGACCACGTGGCAGCCTGGACCACGTGGCAACCCGGAGCCCCGCTCCCGCGTGGCCCCCTTCCTCCGTTCGTTCCCGTTCTGACCACGTGCCGTTCGTCTCCACCCCTATTTAATACCCGGGTCACGTGGTACGTTTCCCGTCAATCCTCGTTAGCCTCCATGGAATATTCCAGGCTCCCTCGTAGGCTCCCGGGACCACGCCCCTGACTCGTCTCCCCATTGGCTGTGGCCAAAGCCAGCAGAACCAATCCTTACAGCTGTCACCTTTCCATTACGTCAGGGCCACGCCCCTGACTCGTCTCCCCATTGGCTGTAAACCAGGACCGGCAGAGCCAATCATCGTGACGAGTTGTGATACGTCAGTGAGCCTGGATATATCCTCACATTACATCTGTATAACAAAGACCTTTTAACAGACTGCTGGGGCAAGTGCTGTTAGCGAGCGGCGCGAATGGAGTGCCGGCAAGTGGGATCTTTGTCTCGGTACCGTGTATTTGTCCCACGCCTACCACACACCTGCCGTGGCTCTGGTGATCACCCACCCAAGCACTGACCAGGGCCCAAGGACCCGCTTAGCTTCGAAGTTCTGGTGAGACTGGTCGCATTTTGGGCGCTGCCCGCACGCGTTGAAAACGAGAGCAAATAAAGTTCTGTTCGGGGCGACGTATGTTTATTATAAATAATAAGACTGAGGAAAGACAAAGATCCCCCTTATAGTCTCAACAGACTGATGGGGGCAAGTGCTGTTAGCGAGCACCTATGAAGCCCGGCACGGCGCACGAGGGAGGTGAGTTATTGAGTCAATGCTTTGGGTTCTCCATCTCACCTCTCGACGAGGGCACAAGGAGCTCGCTCAAGCCCGGCAGGGCATCGCGTGAGACACCCACCACTCTCCAAGACTCGTCGCTGTGGAGTCTGGGCTCATTAAGCGAACAAAACGGGATCAGCCCTTGAACTGGTTTTTCTCTTTTCGATTTAAAGCTTCTTTCGTGACTGCAGGGATTCATCTTCTTGGTTCTTTCGGTAAAGTCACGTAGAAGAGAAGTAATAAAATAATAAAAATAAAACATAATAAAATTTCGATTTAAAGCTTTCGTGACTGCAGGGATTCATCTTCTTGATTCTTTCGGTAAAGTCACGTAGAAGGGAAGTAATAAAATAATAAAAATAAAACATAATAAAATAATTCTCACGACGTCCACTCACTGGCATTGACTGTGTATCTTGTGTTCTCCACAGGGAATGCATTATTTGCTCCGCTGCGGGTCTCCTCCCACCGCTCTCCCATTCACATGTTTCATTGCTTCTACATACTATTAACATTCCCTCCCTTTGTTAATGCTACCCCCTCCCTTTGGTGCTGCTGATCCTGCATAATGCACGGGCATAATATGACTTTGAAACCCCCCCCCCGCCCACCTCCTACGCATTTCCCATGAATATGCTAAATTCCTCTTGATGTGCACATTCTTTTGTTAAGGCGCTCTTCTTCCACCTCCAACCCAGCTTATATATAAGCTCCAAGCTTGGCAGTGTCTCATTCTTCACCTGAGGACGGCTGCTTGCGTTGTGGCCGAAACGTCGTGAGAATTATTTTATTATGTTTGATTTTTATTATTTTATTACTTCCCTTCTACGTGGTGACTTTACCGAAAGAACCAAGAAGGTGGTTTTTCCCTGGCACGTAC